TGGAGGAGGGGAGACTGAGGAAATGCTTCCTCCTGTCTGCAGCAGACTGATCATTGGGGGACAGTAGACTGAGGAAATGCCTTTTTGTGCTGGCAGCAGACCGATAACTGGGGGAGGGGAGACTGAGGACATGCTTCCTACTGCCTGCAGCAGACTGATCACTGGGGGAGAGGAGACAGAGGAAATGCTTCCTCCGGCCTGCAGTAGACTGATCACTGGGGAGAGGAGACTGATGAACTGCCTTTTTGTGCCGGCAGCAGACTGATCACTGGGGGAGGGGGGAGACTGAGGAAATGATTCCTACTGCCTGCAGCAGACTAATCACTGGGGAGGGGAGACTGAGGAAATGCTTCTTCCTGCCTGCAGCAGACATCAGCCCAGGCAAAGTCACTGACTGGAGCTCAATGATGATTTTCTAATGATACAAGATGGAGATGGAGGAGGTCACATAAAAGGATAAGAAGGCACATATCATGCACCAAGGTTTCGGGGGCCCCTTTGTCAGGGTGACAGACGGCTGTCTATGTGTGTCCCCAGTAGGGAGATTCACTCTCCCCAATTGTCCTGGACAGATGAAGGGACAGTAAATCCAAAAAACAGGAATAGAGGGGAAATCTTCCAATGGGGACACTTGTTTCTGTAAACTGTCTGAGAGGGAACTTCCCCTTACTTTGGAGATTTTTTTTCACTTCCTGTTGAGTCTATAGGACAGGAAGTGAAGGGGAATCTCCCTAATGAGTCACAGATGGCAGAAAAAGTAAGAGTAGTATTACCCCTCCCGTGATCTATCCAAAATGATACAAGTCTGAGATTTAGATATATTTTAATGTGCAATATTTCAGATTTATTTTGACAAACAATGTTTAAAAATTGATCCCCGACTATAAACCAGAGAAAGTATGACCAGGGTCGGATTTACTCTCTCTGCTGCCCCAAGGCCAGGTTCCTCAATTTTTTTTTTTCAAGTTTCATTTTTTTTATACTCATCTTTTACTGTTTTATATTTTTTTAATTATTTTTTTACTTTATCACTTTTATTTATTTTATTTTTTTACATTTTATTTATTTTGCGTATTATTTTTTAATTTGTATTTATTTTATATATTTTTTTACTTTATATCCATTGTTTTTTTTTTTACATTTAGCCCTGCTTGCCCAAAGCAGGGCTAAATGTGGAAAGAAACAAAAAGAAAAACTACCCACCCAGCGGCTGTGCTGCCCCTCTGCTCCCTGCTGCCCCAAAGACAGGCCTCGGTGGCCTTGTGGGAAATCCGGCCCTGAGTATAACGACGCAAAACCGATCATTTCCTATAATTCCAGGCAAACCATCGCTGCTGAATCTCCGATTCCTCTTTGGAGGCAGTGGACACAACGCGGAGACGATAACTTTGCTTCTGCTGCCGAGTACAATCCGCAGACTTCCTGTTTATATTTATGTTTTATACATTTTATACAAATGTAGCAATTCATGTAAATACGTTTCAGGAGACGTTCCTGGCGATGCAAATCCATAATAAGCCCGAGCTTCCCTTTCCTGTACACTCGGCTTCCAAAATAAAAAAACTTTTCCAGAATGCGAAGATCTCTATGCACGGGACGAGAATGAGGACTCCTTGCTGAGGGAACAACTCAAATGGGCCAAAAAACATCTTAAAGGAGAACTATGGGGTTGGGGCTTTTCCCCATAGTTCTCCGCAGTTCTCATTGTCACAGGTCGGCTAGAACTATGAGGCTGAGTGAAAAGCACTCACCTCATACGTCTCCTTTAAGAAGTAGGATAACTATCAGGCAGAACAGTGTCCAGGACAACCTTAAGAAGGTGTGTTTATCACTCAGGGCCCGTTCACGCTGTCTAGTGCGTTCACCACACGTAGGATGAACACAATGCATCACATAGACATAGGCTCCCTGCGTTCTGGGGCAGGAGGGGGTGTGGTGATTCCATTCATGTCAATGACACTGCAGACACACCTCCTGCCCGCAGTGCGTTCACCTGCACCGGAACGTGTGGAATGGAGTGAAGGAAAGGAGGGGAGGGATGCAGCCCTGACCAGCCCACCTGAGACCCCTTCAGAGCCTACCATAGACAGTCTTAGATGTGGGCTTCAGCATCTATGGTGGGCTCTGCATGTTCCAGGCTTGAATGCAAAAATGAAAGAAATGCATATTTATTTTAATATTATTAAATGCGCATGTCTTTCATTTTTGCAATAGTTAAACTTAGTTTTCAAATATTTGTGATTTAAAACAATTCATCTTTGCACAACATATAGGGCTTGTTCACGCCAAATCCAGTGCGTTCCCACAGTGCGATCACCTGCACTGAAACTGCATGGCATGCAGTGCAATTACAAAAAATAGTGCAGGGCCCTCCTTACCATCTTGTATTGAGATTGTAATGTCTTCCTAATATTGTAAAGCGCTGCGCAAACTGTTGGCGCTATATAAATCCCGTATAATAATAATAGTGCAAGCAATCGCACTGCTGTGCCATGCGTAGCAGTGTGGGTGATTGCACTGTTAGAATGCACCGGATGTACTGATCATGAAAGACATGCATATTTAATCATATTAAAATAAATATGCATGTCTTTCGTTTTTGCATTCAAGCCTGGAAAGAATTGCAAATAGAGCTGTGCATATTCCTGCAGTCCTTAAATATATCAAATATGCATTTTTTTCATTTAAGCCTGGAAAGAATTGCAAATAGAGCTGTCCATATTCCTGCAGTCCTTCATCTCTCCTAATTGATCAGTACATCTCTCCTACATCAGTACAGAGCTCTGCCTGGGAGAGAATGTGCAGAATCCTGAGCTTTGCAGCCCACAAAATGATCACAATTGCAATTCTTTCCAGGCTTGAATGCAAAAATGAAAGAAATGCATATTTGATCATATAAATCAATGCATGTCTTTCATTTTTGCAATAGTTAAACTTAGTTTTCAATGCGCTGGATTTGGAAAAGTGACCTATGCAAGGCAGGAATAAATACAATCAATCACTTTCAATGTTTATTTGATTTTTCTATTCATTTATTTTAAAGTTATCCTCATTCATGCTCACCGTTGTTCGTTCTGGACTTCTGATAGCAGCCCGGTGCCCGCTCAGATGAATTCCCGGCCGAGAGTTCTTCTTATCGCCCAGTGTCACCTGCCTTCTGCACAGCTCTGAACTTCATAGGGCCCGCCCACACAGTCAGGGGAGGAGCCTCAGCTGAAGTCAGCCCTGTAGGAACTCTGGGCCTGAACTAGAGTCGGGACCATGGCGGGGTGCCGTAGACTGTCACTGTTACCCTCCCGGCGGGTGTCAGCCTCCCGGCACCCCCCCCAGTGACGCCGCTGGTTACACCCCCTTCCCATCCAGGCAATTTTTCAGTATTCAGCGCTGCGGTACTTTGACTGACATTTATTCCGTCATGCAACGCTGTACTGAAATTAGTTTTATATCATTTTTTGGGGGGCAGATAGAGCTTTCTTTTGGTGGTATTTCATCACCACTGGGGGTTTTTATTTTTTTACTATATTAAGAAAAATTACTGATTTTTTTTTAAAGTTTTTTTTATAACATTATGTTATGATACATTTTATTATTATCCAATTTCTTAAAATATAAAAGACGGTGTCACGTCGGGTAAATAGACACCAAACATGTCAAGCCTTAAAATTGCGCGCACCCTGCAAAAATCGCAAAAAAAATACCATACCCAAAATTGTCCGTAGGCGACGCTTTAAAAGCTTTTACCGCTCATCAGTTTAGTTTTATCAGTGATTGATTGAACCTAAAATTATTGCTCTCACTGCGACGTTCGCGGCGATATGTAACATGTGCAGCGTAATGGGCGCAATCGTTGTTTTCGCACGTATGCGCACCCGATACATGTTTGCACGCGTGTATGTATGGGTGGCGACTTTTTTTAAAAAATTATGTTTTTTTACATTCTTTTATATGTGTAACTTACATCTTTTTTGTGCATTTTTAATGTTTTTTTTCACTTTACGTTATTGTTATCACATAGGGGGATAAGAAACCCCCCTATGTGATAGCAAAGTGACAGGTCCTCTTTATGGAGGCATCAGGAGTCTCCAAGACCCCTAATGTCACCTAGGGACCCCCAAAGAAGCTGATGAAGCAGAGATCTGTTTCATCAGCTTCTGGAGCCGGATAGTGACACAAGAATGCGGAAGTGATGTAATATACATCACTTCCGCATTCTGACCACGGAGAGGGGACACCATCTCCCTCTGATCCCGTCACAGAGCCACCATGCTGGTCCCGGGGCTCGCACCCAGCAGGACCAGCAGGACGGGAGCGACGCACAGACCGGCACCTTATACAAGCGGTCCGCCGGCTAGATCGCTTGTATGTAAACATTGCTGCCTGTTTTTACATTTTGGCAGTTTCGGTCTTTGGACAGCCTGTCACATCCAAGAAGCACCCGGCCGGCCGTTTAATTACAACGGAGAAGAACTCCGGGTAAAAATGTAATGAAGACTTGCAGTGGGGCTACCCCGCCACTGCAAAGGTTAAGAGCTCGTTTTTGCCTGGGGTCAACAACAAAAAAGTTATACTCATCAGATCCTTTGAGGCGTTTTTAGTATTTAATAATAAAAATTAGAAACTTTTTTCAGGAACAAAATTTTAAACACTGAGACTGTCACTTTAAATCTGCGATCGGCCTGTAACCATGGTGATGAACAAAAGTCTGGCCTTCCATGGACTGGAGACACCTCCCCGACCACGCCCTGTACGTGGTCGTACCTGGCCACTTGCTTTCAGGCACCTATTGGACAATTGTTACGTGGGCGCGGGGACCTTCTGAGTTTCCGTACGGCAAGAGCGGCCATATTGCTGTACGGCGGAAGTAACTTTCTCCAGGCTAAAGCTGAGAATAAAAGTCCAATAAAAGTGACCTAACGAACGCCGAAGCGCTTTTGAATGTTTACATCGCTGCGATGGAGACGGAAAGACCTTTACTTGACTTAGAGAACACACACCGGGGTTTTTTGAAGTGGCGGCCTGTCAGTGAGTGACACCGGTAATAGAGTAGTACTGCCGCCATGATCCTGCTAGAGGTGAACAACCGCATCATCGAGGAGACCCTCTCCCTCAAGTTCGAGAATGCGGCGACCGGGTGAGTGGGAGCGGCCCGGGTGGCCCTTCAGTTTGCTATGTGGCCCTGAGTGGGTGGTGGGAAGTGCCCTCTGATTGGGTAAGAATGTGGTCCTGAGTGGATGAAGGAGCCTTAACAGGATGGCAGGTGGCTCTGTGGGAGTTGAAGCTCTCGGTATATGGGTGCTGGGCCCCATGTGACAAGAGGGGCCCTCACTGAGGGAGGAGAGGCTTTGATTATACGGGTGCTGGGCCCTGTTGGAGAAGATGGGCCTATACTGAGGAGGGGAGGTGCTCTGGGTGTATGGGTGCTGGGCCCATTGGGAGAAGATGGGCCTTCAGTGAAGAGAGGAGGGGCTATAGGTATATGGGTGCCAGGTCTTGTGGGTAAGGATGAGGCCTCACTGAGGGGAGGGGCTCTGTGTATGGGTGCTGGGCACTGTGGGACAAGATATGCCTATACTGGGGAGGGGCTATAGGTATATGGGTGCCAGGTCTTGTGGGTAAAGATGAAGCCCCACTGAGGGGAGGGGCTCTGAGTATGCGGGTGCTGGGCCCATTGGGAGAAGAGGGGAGGGGCTATAGGTATATGGGTGCCAGGTCTTGTGGGTGAAGATGAGGCCTCACTGAGGGGAGGGGCTCTGTATATGGGTGCTGGGCCCTGTGGGACAAGACAGGCCTATACTGGGGAGGGGCTATAGGTATATGGGTGCCAGGTCTTGTGGGTGAGAATGAGGGGAGGAGCTTTGAGTATGTGGGTGCAGGGCCCATTGGGACAAGATAGGCCTATACTGAGCAGGGGAGGGGGCTATAATACATTTATGGGTGCAAGGCCCTGTGGGAGAAGATGGGCCCTTACTGAGGGAGGAAAGGCGTTGCAGAAGCTGGACCCCTGGCACATCATGGCTCGAAGTTTTAGAGGGTGCCTGGCAGTAAGATAGAGGTTGGCCCTTGTTTAATTCTATGCCCCTGGGTGGTCAAGGCCGCCTGGCAATGTGAATGGTGACACATCCTGCTTGAACTTAGTACTGGTACTCAATGGGCTGCTGGTTACATCTTTGCTTTGTGGTAACGCACGACGATTCATGTTACATACGTTGTTATATATAATGCAGCACAATCTCTCTTTGACACGTGATGAATGCATTAGCAATTCGTTATTTTCAATGGTCTACCTTAGCGCAATGCACATTAATTGCACCGCAAACACGTCAATGTCCTAAAACTTTATCAAAATCTAATATTTTAAGAAGTGTCTCTGAAATGCGTCCTGCAGACGGTTCCATGCTCTCTCATCATCATGTACGTATAGTGATACTATGTATCGGGTTTTGCGGAAATAGTTTCTGTGTTGTAGGAAGGTGAATGCCAGACTTCCTCTTCACAGTGCAAGCCCGGGCCCGTAGCCCACGCATTCCCCCGACGTGCTGCTGCAAGCCTCTCAGCGCTGCTGACTTGGATCGAGCTGCTTGTAGCTTTGATGTAGATCATTCCGTCATTCCTCTGGATTTCTTATTTGTTTGCATGGTTTTTTTTTTCCTCTAACCTGAACACGAGTCCAGCGTCTCTTCCCTGATTGTGTTCTCTGATATCTGCGCCGCGACAGTGAAACCGCAGGCTGCCGCTTATTTCTGCACCTCTCAGTTCTGAAACCCGGCACGGCGATTATTAGTCTTGGTAAACGTTCCTCGGTCTTATATTTTGCATTATTATATTTGTTTGTAAATACAGTTTTTATAAACTCAATCTTATTTTTTTTTGGCCATCATGATGCATATAGTTTTCTTAGCATTTGCAGTTGCTATGACTAACGCCCATTGGGTCTGAAACACGTAAGCGGGTTTTGTTTTTATGGACTTTACGGTATTAAAAAAATTACACATTTGGAGGAGATTCCTTGAGTGTTGCCGTCTTTCTGTGAAACCTCTTTCTGGAGGGGGGCTACTTTAGTTCCCCATGGTCCCTGTGTGTGTTGTAAAGTAGTCACCGCTCCAAGCTCACTCCCGTAATGGACTACAATCCCAGGTTTAGTTTACCCATTTGTATTGAGATTGTAGTCCATCCCGGGAGCGAGCTTGGAGCGGTGACTACTTTACAACACACACAGGGACCATGGGGAACAAAAGTAGCCCCCCTCCAGAAGGAAGGACAGTGTCAGCACCAATTCAGAGATGATTGGAGGATCTACAGCCGAGTGATGTGTAAATAAGATGCTTTGAGGGGAATTTATCAACTGCTGGAGACAAAATCTGGAGCAGCTGTGCATGGCAACCAATCAGCTTCTATCTCTCATTTTCAAATCTCAACTGAGCAAACTGAACAGAGAAGCTGATTGGTTGCCATGGGCAACTGCTCCGGTTTCTGTCTGCTCCAGTTTTGATAAATTCCCACCATTGTTGCTAATAGTTAAGTTACTTCTATTTATAAGACTTAACTCCGGAGTGTCACTTTAAGCCAATCATGTCTTGTCATTTGTTACTAAGTTCCTTACTTGGAGATCCTGCCAGTAACGGCACTTCCTGTTGCAAGCTGAACCGCATTAGGCCATTGTCTCACAATGTGCTGTAGTGTTGTCAGTCTGCCATATACACTTCTTCAGTTGGCGGTTGGGCACCAGACCAGATAAGCAAGATAACGGCCAACTTAAAGTGACATTAAACCCTCAGATTTTTTAACATAAACCAATACTGTAATGTGCGCCTTACTGTAATCCATGGTAGTTTCCCTTCTCTTTGCTGCTCTTCCTTTTTAAATCCTCATGTGTTCTCATGCTGGGGGAGAACTTCCCTTTGCAGCTGAGTGCCTCTTCCTGTAGTGCTGGCTCAGGTTGCAAACCTATACAAACCTACACACAGACACCATGTATCCATTCCAGAGACAAGGCAGTCTGCTGCAAAACAGAACTTCTGCCCAGCATGAGAACAGATACAGATTTAAAAGGAAGAGCAGCAAAGAGAAGGGAAACAGCCATGGATTACAGTAAGGCGCACATTACAGTATTGTTTTATGTTACAAAATCTGAGGGTTTAATGTCACTTTAAGGTGCGCACACAGCAGACTGACAATGTAATTGAGAGCTAGTGGCTTAGCGATGTCATTCTATAACAGGAAGTGCCGTTACTGGCAGGATCTCCGGGTGAGAAACTTTGCAACAGATTGACAAAATGAAATGTTTTTAGGATAATTGTGTACGCTGATATATAATGAAAGGCAGATTTTGGGGTTACATTATTATTTGCATGGGTCCAAGGGGGCCTTATAGGGTCTACTAAGAAAAATCAGTGAAAAAGGGCCCATTCAGATGGGTGCGTCATGGTAATGCGCTGCAGTAGACCGGGGTGCCATTCATTTTGAATCGCATCTTAAAGGAGAACTATGGGGTTAAGGCTTTTCCCCATAGTTCTCCTTAGGGTAACGGGAGGACACAAACTAGCGTCCTCCCGTCACCCTAGGCTCAGTATACCGCGAGCTGTAGCTCGCGGTATACTGAGATGCCGAAGCGGATCCCGACAATTATGTCTGGATCCGCCCAGCTGCGTGACTGACAGCTGCCTCTGCCTATCTAGAGGCAGAGCCAGCTGTACCCGCCCCCTCCCCCGTCCGTTCCGCCAGTCAGCGCTGGCGGATCGGAGCAGGGAGGGGGGAACCCAGCCCCTCCCCTGTCACAGCAGAGAGCCGTGACAGGATCGAGAGGTGAGCGAACGCCGGTATGTGTTCGCTCACCTCCCGATCTGCTGAGCCGACCTGTGACAGTCTCATTGTCACAGGTCGGCTAGAACTATGAGGGGAGTGAAAAGCGCCCACCTCATAGTTCTCCTTTAAATCAATCCCACTATTACAGTACTGTGTAATGCATCTGCACTGCAAGACAATGCACAACATCATGCATTCAAGTGCGCTGTGTCAAAAAAAAAAAGGGGAGGGGCGCAGGTGCAATTTTCTATGCATTGAGGTGTGCTTCCAGCCCTTTAATATTGGCTGCTCCCATCAATACATAGTTATGTGACGCATTAACACAACACAAAGTATTAAGGGGGCCTTGTAGGGCCAGTCCACCATATACCAACTTGTAGTTGTTGCTACTTTGTAAAAGCAGGTTTCTTGTATATTTGTTTTTTTGGAGAGTGTTGTGGTGGTGAGCAGTCATGTCTGCGCACCTTCCACTTTGAGGGGGGTCCACTCTCCCTTGTGGATTTTATTTTATGTTATGAGGAAAGCAAGAGGAATAGTGAAAACACCCTGGTGTAAGTGGGGAACCACAGAAAGGTTGCAGGGAGCACCCTAGACCAGGGGTGGGCGAACTTCTGCCCTCCAACTGTTGTGTCACTACAAGTCCCATGAGGCATTGCAAGATTCTGTCAGCCACAGGCATGAATCCCAGAGGCAGATGCATCATGGAATTTGTAGTTTCACCACAGCTGGAGGGCCGGAGTTGCCCACCCCTGATCTAGATTGAGTTGAGCAGGAACAAAGCTAGACACTATGGTAGAGTTCCATTGTGTTCTCAGACACTTTTTGGATTTAGCATTCTCGGTCTTTGTATTGAATAAACTGCCCTAACATGCCAAACTTTCTCTTTTAGGAATAAACCGGAGGCGGTGGAGGTAACATTTGCAGGTAACGATTTTACAAGATTCCTTTGTAGAGTTAAGGAGATGTATACAAAAAGTTATAAAGATCCTGGCTACACCAAAACCACACGACTGCGGCATTACCACAATGCCTGACTAATATAACCATGCGGACAGTTTTTACATTGTGGTCATGTGACATCTTTACATTGTGTCATCTTGGTTATCTACTCCAATAATTTACAAAGAGAGAGAATACTTTCCTCTCTGACAGCCGTGTCCCCTACAGCCTCATTCAGTCTCTTCTAGCATTGAACACTTCCGGGAGTGTCAGATGCCTGTTGTCCCCCTCCCCACATTGGTACATTCCTCTGACACCTACAACACTGCTGTTTAGTGTAGTGATGCGTAGGTCTGAGGATGGGACCATAGCAGTGGAGTAGGGGTCAGACGAAGGATCCAGTGTGTGTCAGGGTACACTGGCTGGCATCTGACACGTCCGGAAATGGCCAAGG